ATTAAGATTAAGAATATAATAAATATTGAGTAATTTGATATGTTCAGGAATTGCTATGAAAAGACCTAAATGTTATAAATGATTCAGGTATGCATATTCTTTGTGGATGTAATTCATATTATACCCTCTTAAATAGCAGCCTCAAATCACAAGTCCACTGGTTTAGTATTTAAAAAAAAACCCAAATCTGAATGATTTATTTTAAGAATTGTGTCACATATACTCCTTTAATACCATCAATTATAACAATTTCTTATTAAAAATCTGCTCTTCCCAGTAATAAGAAATTACTTAAGGAACATCATCATTCAGGCTACATTTAACCAGACTTGTTTATTTAAAAGCTCTCCATACTAAGTATTTAAAGAAATGCAATTAAGAAATAAACAGTATCTGTTCAGAAAAAGAAATACATACTGGTCAAACAGCTATTAGAAGAAGGAATTAGACTATGGGTCCTCATGAGTAACACAGGTTCCTATTCCCTCTGAGACCACATTTCATGCTATTTCACTGTATTTTCTCTGTGGTCACTCTCTACCCCAACCCCCCTCCCAAATTTTTTCATTTTAGGAAAGAGAAGTCAAGATCGTTTTATACTCCCCTATCAATCATTCCTCAGGAAAGAGATTCATTTTGTGGTTTCTTTACCATCTGGTTGGTGGGACTGCTCTTTGCTACTAGAGGACACTAGAGAGCATGACTGAGCCTTTGGTATGGCTAAACACTAAACACCACTCCAAATTAGCAAGTACCAGATCCATAAATCTGTATCATGTTTTACTATTTTCAAATTAGTGCTATCAAACAGATTGGCATTACATTTATTCTCAGGAATGAGAAAATATATATGCCCCACTACCAGTACTGTAAAAAATGACTTCTCATAAAGGCGATTAAGTTCAAGATACTCTCTTTCCACTACAAGGAAAAAACAGGGGTAACTAAAATTGTTACTTGGAGTATGTCTCATTCTTACACATACAAGCCCATGTTTTCTAAAAAGTTAATTAATGTTCAATCTTTATGATTTAGTTCACCTAAATTTTAAATAATGCATGTGTCACTGTGAATTTTAAAAAAGGTCACATTCCTGCCCTGGCCAATTTGGCTCAGCGGTTGGAGAGTTGGCCTGTGGACCAGAGAGTCCTGGGTTCGGCTCCTGTTAGGGGCACATACCATAAATAAATAATTAAATAAATAAGTAAGTAAATAAATAAGTAAATAAATAAATAAATAAGCAAGCAAGCAGGCCATATTCCTAGTCACACAAACTCTTGGTTTGGGAATTGCAAGCACTTTTGGATCATCAGCCTTTCTGGAAATCTACGGTAATTTCCTTAATTTCGAGCCATGTTGATGACTAAAGTGGATTTTAGTCACCAACATGGCGCTCTGATGAATGCATCAACATTAGTTTTTATAGTAAACAATATGTCACCCATACACAGGATTTTACACTTGGATTATAACATCCTTGGTAAGAGCACTTAGAGACTTAGATAGGCATAGATGATATCTAGTATGTGATTTAAACATCAACTGTAAAGCTGGAAGAGCAAAATTACCTTCACAATTCAATACAGAGAAAGAATAATAAACTCCCAAGAAATACAGATTTAAGTAAGGAGCTTTCATATCATTTCACTGTATTTAAAGACTAAATATAGTGAGACTTTCAGAACTCTAAGTATCTACAGTGACAGTTCTACCTGTAAAACCTGTACAAACAAAATTTGTATTTATAGCACATACCAGGACACACCACTAACCATTCACAATTTTTAATACTTTTATCAGTAGTAATTAGCAAGCTACACAAATAAAACCATGAACAAGATATGGAGATATCTGCCACTAAGGGATCCTTACAATCATGTTTTCAAAAGTCTTTTGGTTGCAGTTGACAGCTCACAATTGCAGCCATTCGTGAGAGCTCCTGGAACGTGGCCCCCAGAGTCCACGCTGGTCAGCTATCTATGGAAAGTTATCTGTGATGCATTCGTTTTCAAAAAGGGCCAGTGATGTTTTGCAACTCCCCCACTTACCAAAAGGAACTCTGTTATGTGTACAGGTAGTTTAAACAAATTTTGTAACCTTCACTGTAAAACTGGCTACATGATTTTCTATAACTATATTTTCAACCATCATTATATCCTCCAGTTTACACAAAATCAATTGGATGAATCTCAATAACTGACAATATGCCAATGGGCAACGTTAATAACCAAGAACTTTTAGACATTTTCTTACTTTGTATGTACAACCTTTTAAAGGCATGACAATATGATATACTAATATAAGGTCTTTTCTGATTCTTTAAAATAAATGGTCTCAAAATGACCTTGTATTAGGTAATGGAACCAAAATCACAAGATAGAGCTTTCAATATATCAACCTAAATCACCTCAATCGTTTTTGTTCATCTTCTATTTTCCTTCCTTTTCTCAACAAGTTTTTAAAAAACAAACACCTTATTTACAAATATTTTCTTAGGATATGAAATTTGCTTCAACCTATTCATAAAGTTTAAGTCATAAACTGTAGACTTCTCACTCCACTTTATTTTACATTGGAATGACTAAATAAAACTCTACGCACCCTATGTAATTTCATTAACCAACATCACCCCAATAAATTCAATAAAAAAATTTTAAAAAATGTATGCAGATTTTAATTTAATAAGGCAACCCAAAATCACCATATTAAAATTATGATTTTGTTAGTATTGTACACTCAAAAGTTCTCAACTCAGTAATTTAAACATGCCTGGAAAAACTATTTAATTTCAAGTACACAATTTTAAAATGCCCTCTTTTACAAAAGCTTTCCATTAAAAAAACAAAAACAGAAAACTATTTCTACTTAATGGATTTATTCCTTCACCAGGTATGTTGGTTGCAGTGACAAACAGTCAAATGTGTAAGATTACATCTTGGAAACTAGCATGTTAAATTAAAAACCAATAAAAGACTGTAACAAAAATTAGAAATGCACATTTGAGAAGCAACACAGATTTGAAAAGCCTGGGTAGAGGAGGGAAGTGCCCCGTTTAAAATAGGACTGCACACACATCAAAATTCCTGCACTGGATCACTGTTGCAGTTGGTAACACAGATACAGTAATATCTATAGTTCTAACATTCACCTGTTTAGAAATGAGATTGAGATGATCAACTCTTTTAATAAAAAGAGGAGAAATAAATGCATCTTTGAGGTATATCCTAAAGAATATATCCCAGAGTTTCCATTTGTCAACAGGTCTCTCAGCTTCATGCCACATCATCATATTAAAGTTATGAGGAATGTAATTATATATGCTATAAACTGAGAGAGGTATGAAGAGAAGACACTTCTTCATTCACAGGTGTGTGTTTTGGGAGTGCGGAGTGGGTTGGAAAACCAATCATCATTTTGTGAAGAAACATGGGGGCAGTGAGCAAATGCTTATGGTCCAACCCATCAGAAAAAATGGCTTCTGGCAGCTAGAAAAGGGAAGATCACCTGTTGACTATTACCAAAGGTGAACAATTGAATTCAATCTGCATTTTAGGTGTGCCCCTACATGTGAAAAGCAAAATATGGGAGCAAAATAGGAATTTTTCTGAGTGGCCTGTGGAATCAGTTTCTTTACTTGGTAGTCCAATCCACATAAAATTTCTCAATGACTAGGCTACCTGAGCTCATTTATGGACACGTGGTATTCTCTAAGAGTTCTCAAATGGAAGAAAGACTCCCCACAAGCCAAATCACCTATAAAAAAAGATGAACTTTGAATTACAAAAAGCAGAGAAGAATTTCAGTGAGCATTTTTCAAACCAACAGAAATATATAAAATACAAGGCTAAATAGAAATGAAAAGTTAAGATAGAATGTGAAGGAACCCAGAGGAAACATAAGAAAAAGTTAACAGATCTCATCTACATACCAATTATTCTAGAAATCCATAAAAACAGCCTTGTTCTTTGAACACATCTAAAATTAACCTCTCTGAAAACAAAACCCCGGCAAATAAATATCTACCTGTGAAATACCTGAAACTTTCTCTGTAATTTTTAAATATAATTATAAAGCTTTGTAACAAATCAGCTTTTAAAACTTGCATTATTTAAAACTTGTGTTAGCTATCTTTTGTCGTTTTCATGTGACATTTCCTCAAAACCATTTAGAATTCTCATTAAACCATAACCAAACATCAACTGTTGCAGAATTGATATGGCAAATACACCAATTTTCACTTAAGCCATTAAAAAAAGCTTCCCTTAAACAGAGGGAGCCAATTGCTGACATTTCCCTTATACTATAAAACTACTTTAATTTCAAGATCTACAGCTCATACCTCCCATTTCTATAGGAAGAAAGACTGATGGAAGGTAAAAGCATTTTCAGATACACTTATACTTAAAAAAAAAAAAAAAGATCTTAAAGAAGTCACTGGGAAGCTTCCTGACTTTCTGCTCTCTTTCATTAAAAGGCTGAATGAAGATATGGTCTTCTGAGCTGGATTTGACATTTCAAGATTCTCCCTCCAGCCTTTCCAGATGCACCGGAGGAGACAGACACGTACACTGATCTGATCGTTCTGTAGTAGAGGGCATTCTGGTTTTCCAGAATGGGAAACTTCTAATTGTTTCAGTCTCAAAACTCACACTGACGAAAGTCTGCTGTAAGTGTTCAAGTGTGACTGACACCTAAAAAAAGGACAATCCTATGGGGCATAACTAACTATCATCTTTAAAGTGAGAGGATTAAGATAAAATCCACCTTTTTGAATAAACAATGTTGCATCCCTATCCACTTTAGTATTTTTAAGCCACTGTGACGACTCTCTCATTATCCACCTTTACATCAGCAGTATAAAACTAAAGTTTTTTTCAAAAACCGACGAATCAACTTTACTAGGGTCCTCAAACTGAAAAAGAACTCTCCCAAAGTTGCATCCTAAACCACAACGTTTGGCCGAACATTCCTATAAAATATTTTAAATAAAATTTCCATACCTGTCTTCATCACCATCAACAGGAATAGCTATGCTGAATACAGAGGTGGCCAGACTGTTCATAGGTGTTAACTGAAGGGGGTTTGCCAGGGCATCTGCAACAGGAGGCTTCACAACAGGCTTGTTTTCAGCAATGAGAGAAAGTGGTGGCTGAGGTAGGGGTTCTGATTTTCTTCTAGTATCGTCAGCTTGCCCGACTAAAGGCTGGGTCTGGGTCTGAAACTGGCTTAGGTCAGACTGTGGTAGACTTGTCGGTGCACTGGGTGTGCCTTGGGCTAAGGGCAGCCCGACTTGCTGGATTATGCTGCCGCTCCTGCTGACTGGCGTATGGCTGCTCAGCTGCTGCGACTGGACCAGGGCCGCGGGTACATTTGGCATCGTAACAGATGTGGTGGACACACTGGGCACGCTTGGAGCGGACACGGCAGCAGGCACGTTTGGAACTCCGGGCACCATGGCGGGAGGGCCAGCAGGCCCGGCTGACGGCGCACCGGTGCCTCCCATCTGCGGCGGAGGCGCGGACTGGGGATGCCCGGCGCCGGTAGGCACCAGGCCCGGCTGTACCGCGCCTCCCACAGCAGCCGGGGGAACTCCAGCTGGCTGGCAAGGCGCGGCCTGTCCGCCTGGCGCGGGTCCCGGCCCCGGGGCCACGGCTTCACTGGGCAGGGAAGAGGCGCCCATGATCTGCGCGGCCCCGGAGGAGGCACTCTGGCCGGTGCCAACCGGAAGGCTGGCGGCCGCGGCGGGGCCGGCGCCGGTGGCCGAGGGCTGCGCGGGGCTCGGCGGCTGCAGGCCGACCACGTGCTGCTGCAGGTACTCACTCGGGCCGGAGGGCTGGACGGGCAGCAAATGCCCCGGCGGAATCTGAGGCTGGGGATACGCGAACTGCTGGGGCTGCGGCGTTGCAGAAGCGCCGGCTGCCGGGCCCAGCTGCGGAGGCAGAGACATCCCAGGCTGCGCCAGGGTGACATTCGTTGGCGGAAGAGCCTGCCCATTGGGCCCCGGAGGGACGCCGCCAGGCCCGGTTCCCTGGGGCTGGCTGGGCTGCAGCCCGGCCGCGGCTCCCGGGAACGACGGCATCGGAGCCGAGCTTGGAGCTACAGCCCCACCTACGGGCGGCGGCGGCGGGAGCTGCCCAACGCCAAAGCTGTGCGGCGGGGCCGGGGCGGGCAGGCTCGCCTTCTCCGACGGGGGCAGCTGTGACACGGCAGCCAGCGAGCTGTCAGTTCCCGAGTCGGGCCCGTGCGCCCCCTGCACGGAGGCCACCACCACGACCACCGACCCTCCGGTGGCGCCCAGGCCGCTGTCCCGCTCCGCAGCCGGCTCGAAAGTACTGCTGTGCCGAATGCAGTCCCCGGACCTGGTGAGGACGCTGCTGTCGGAGTCGCGCTCGTAGTACTCCATGCACGTCCATCGGCCGCGTCGGTAGGGCTCGCCGCTGCCGTGGTCCAGCTTGATCACGCGGAAACGGGAACTGCAGGCCGTGGGAGGCTGCGACGGAGCGGCCGTGCCTGGCACCGCCGCCGAGCCCGCGGCCGGGGGGGCGCCGGGGGCCCCCGGGGAGGGGGCCGGGGGGGCGGCCGCCGCCAGAGTGCCGGTCAGCGCCCCGGCCACGCTCCGGGCCGACACGGCTCCGCCTCCGTTGGCGGGAGCAGCCGCGGCGGCCGCCAGCTGCCCGTCCAGGAGGAGGTTCGGGGAGACCGTCCCGGGCGTCTCCGCATCCCCGACATTGTTGAGGGTCTCTTCGGAGGAGCTCCGCTCGCACACCTCCTCGGGGCCGTAGTCCGTGGCCCGGGACACGTCGAAGATCTCGGAGGACACGTCCTCGGTGCGGGACTCGTCCGGGTCGTCCAGGCTCTCGGTGTCCTCCGTGATGCTCGTGGCCACCTGGGCCGTGGTGACACTGGTGATCTGGAAGCAGCTCTTCTTCTTGGCCGGCATCTTGGACATGGCGCGGCGGGCGGCGGGCCGCGGGCCGCTCTGCGAACTCGCTGGAGGCCGGGGGGGCAGGCGCGGGCCCCCGAAGGCAAAGTCCGAGGCCCGCCGGGGTCTGAGGCCCGCCGCGGAGTCACGGGCCGGGCCGGGCGGCCGCTCGCTGGGGCATCCTCCGCGCGTCCGCCCCGGCTCTGCGCTCGGCCCCCTCGCGGCTCCTCCTCCTGCGCCGCCCGCGGCCGCGGCGCCGCGGCTCAGGCCCCTCGGAGGCGGCGGGCGCGATGCAGGGGCGGGCCGGCGGCTTCCTCCTGCCGGCCCCGGCCGTGGTCAGCGCGCCGCGCGGTCAGCAGGCCCGGCGGTGGGGGCGGGGGCGGCGGCGTGGGGGGCGGCGCTGCGCGCTCGGCTCCTCGGGCTGTGCCGGCGGCTCGGGCTCGGGCTCCGGCGGCTCCGGCTCCGGCGAGCGGGGCTCCGGCCCTCCCTCCCCGCGCTGGCCGGAGCTCAGCGCAGGGACATGGCGAGCGTCTCTGCGGAAACCCGCTCCGGGAGGGAGGGAGCCGCTGGTCCTCCCCTCACAGGGGCGCCACCCCCGCGGCGCCGGCGAGCGAGGGGCGGCGGCCGGCGGGCGGAGGCTCCGGCGTGAGGCGGCGGCGGGGCTCCTCCGGCGGCTCCGCGCGGCGCCCGGCTCGCAGGCGCCGAGGAAACTGAAATTCAAACTGCTGAAGCGGCGGCTGCAGCTCCCTCCCCTCGGCCAAGATGGGGCAGAAATGGCCGCGCCAGGGATGCTGGGAGGAGCAGCAGCCCGGCTGCCGCCGCCGCTGTCGACTAAAATGCCGCCGCTGCCGCAGCCGCCGCCAGCGCCGCAGCCGCCGCCGTTCCGTGACGCGCCGGCGTCGTGACGTCAGCGCCCCGCCCCCTCCGGGTTCCTGCAGTTTCGCTGGGAGGCTGGCGGCGGGAGGGGGCGGGGCGGGAGGGCGGCGGGGGGCGTGGCCGAAGGTTAGAAAAAAGGGAGCGGTTTTTTTTTTGTTGTTTTTTTTTTATTTAAATTTTTTTTAAATTTAAATTGTGCGCTGCGGGTCTCGCAGCAGCGGAGGGGAGAGCGGGTGCCTGCACCGTCCCAAGCGCAGGCCAGCTCGCAGCGGCTCCCACCGACTGTTTTATCTCTGCTCCCAGCCGGTGCGAGCCTGGAGGTCATGTGCTGTGTCTAATGTTTAGCGAAGTCCTGGTGGAACAAGGGCGGTAGGCACGGGGCCTGGGGGATTTAGCCAGGATCAAGAGGGAGCCGGCTGGAGGAAGCAAATCACTTACAAAGTCTTTCCTGAGAGTAAATGGACCGCTATTGTCAGAGGAATGAAATGTGGAGAGAAATGGGGATGATTAACCAAGAACAGCAAGCCAGATTGAGTCAGAAAAATGATCTTTCAGCCAGAAATTGTCTCCAACAATGGCATCAGGAGATGGTTACTTGCCCAGGGTGAGGTCAGTTTAAAAAAAGATGAGAGGTTACCAACATAGTCCTAATTTTCCTGTATTTGCTGTGATTCCAGCATCCAAGAGTTCATTTAAAGTCCTGAGACTGTGTTGACTTTCCCCAGGAAAGCAGCTTATGGGCTCCATAAATGTAGAACCTACTGCGTTCAATAGTTACAGTTCTTTCTTTTGTTTATTTTAAAACTCTTAGTTGGAGCCAGAGTGTTATATGGTTTGGATTGGGCCATGGAAACCAGAACAATTCAGCAAGCACCCTTTTCTGTCCCAGTCCAGAGAGCAGCTATGAAAGTATTGGCAACTGTATTATCTTTTGGCTACTTCCTGGCAAATGAAAATGGTAAGCCAATTCTTTTAAACAGTTTTTTGAAAAAGAGTAAGGAGGCTCTTGAACTTTGACATCCTAATGCATCTGCTAGGTAAAGCTTAAGAAGTCTTACTGGAAATCAAAATGCCATTTCTATTACAACTTTAACAGTCATCTGATCACTTACATAAATCAGTTAGTCATTATACTCAGTTCTTTTTTTTTTTTTAATCCTCACCCGAGGACATTCCTGAATTTATCTTCAGATAGAGCAGGAGGGAAAGAGGGAGGAAGAGAGAAACATCAATGTGAGAGAGACACGTTGAGTGGCTGCCACCCACACGACCCCAACCGGGTGCGTGCCCTTAGTGGGAACCGAACCCAGGCCTCTGGTCTGCAGGCCGACACTCTAACTGCTGCGCCAAACCGGCCAGGGCCTCAGTTCTTTAATTTTTGAAGAAGAACAGAAATACTTTTTATCCCAAAGGATGTTTTGATCCCTGTTACAGAGCCCTGACCAGTGTGGCGAAATGGTCAGAGCTCCACCCCTGAACCATAGGGTTGTTGATTCCATTCCAGTCAAGGGCAGGTACCCCTATTGCAGGACTGGTTGGGGCACATTAGGGAGGCAACCAATCCAATGAATCTTTCTCTCTCTCTTTCCTTCCCCCCATCCCCCTATCCATTCTCTCTAAAAATCCATGGGAAAAAAAATTCTCGGGTGAGGATTAACAAAATTTACAGAGAATTTTTTAGGTCTTTTGTTGTAAATAATATATAGAGATATGTCTTTTAACCTTAGTAGAAACCATGTCTTTCAAATGCAAGTGACTGAGGTCGGGATGTGAAATAAGAGGACATATTCCTGTTAAGGGGGTGGGAGAAGAAAGGAACAAAGTGTAACATTATGCTGCTATTGTGGCAAACATACCAATGGAATATTTCATTCCTAAATCTGTAATTTCATTAATTGTTAGAGACAGCTTTTCATCAATAAGTTAGATCAACTGGTTAAATCCAAATGAATTTATAGAAGCTTAATGTAATTTTGGATTAATTTACCAGATTGTTAAAAGTGGTCATAAATGCATTTAAGGTTTTGGGAAAATAAGTATTGTATGCCTGCTTGTTCCATTACATTCTTATTACATAGACTTCTTTATTACTTGTTATGTTACTCTTAAATCACACAGTTTAAGGAAAAAAATCTTAATATTTAAGACTGTTTCTCCTTGATGAACATGTAAAGGATTTATTATGAAATTAAAGGGATGATAAAAATAATTTAGAAGAGATCATCAGTGGACTATATTTCTGGTAAGGATGAGGTTAAATATGTGAAAAGACATCTTAGCAAAACATAAGATTTATAACGTTAAATGTTTTATTTATATGTTTAACGATTTGTGTGTGATTAAACTAATGAAATAGTCCTCTTAAAGGTAAGTTTTCCACGTGTTTTAAAGGTCCTAGTCTCAGCCCTGGCTGGTTTGGCTCAGCGGTTAGAGTGTCGGCCTGCGGTCCAGAGAGACCCGGGTTTGGTTCCTGCTAAGGGCACGTACCTTGGTTGCAGTTTGTCCCCAGTCCAGGTTGGGTTGTGTGGGTGGCAACCACTCGATGTGTCCCTTTCACATCGATGTTTCTCTCTCTCTCTCCCCCTCCCACTCTATCTGAACAAAATATGGGAAAATGTCCTCGGGTGAGGATAAAAAAAAAGGCCCTAGTTTCTTTTATACATTTGCTCTTTAAAAATGTAGAGAATTTATTGCATAAAACTCCTATGAAGAATGATAAGAATTTTGGTTGTTGCAAATAGGTTTGAAATAATTTTTACAGAGGACAAAAATGTGTATAACTATCAAACTACAAAAACAATGTGATTCATGGTTGGTCCACAAAGGATTAAAAACCTTTACATAAATAATTAAAATGTTAGAAAGCAGGATTTATGTGCAGGTATGTATGCCCTGTGTGTGGTAGCCTAACTCACTGGAAATGGGCAGATCCCTGGAGTCCCAAACCTCGAGACCAGGGGTCTGAATGCAATCCTGGTTCCATGCCGGTACCCAGAAACCACAGGTGGAGATTGTGGGAATCTTTGATTGCTGCTCCAGAGTGCCCAGCTTGACTGTCCTATACCTGGTACTTCCCTCAAAGACTTAATTTGAAGCAATGTGTGGGAAGTACATTTAGGAAGAACAGTTCGGTGGTGGGGGTCACAAGATCCTGGAATGTGATCTACAGATACTCAAGAAAAACTGACTTAAAAAAAAAAAGCATAGTATATTTAAAATATAATGGTATATTAATCTAAACATGCCGGGACAGAGAAAAGAAAATCATACTTTTGGTAAAAATTAAGCAACTGCTTGGGTTAAGAGGAGAGACCCTGTAGAAGTAATACTGTTGGCCGGGTAGTGACATTTATGGTGCACTCCCTGTGTGCATTGGGATTGGACAGCCTGTATCCTAGCCAGCAAGTTTCTCTGGGGTTTAGAAATAGCTTATCTTTATTTTCTATGTTTTTATCACCAAATTGTTACAAAAATAAAAAATGAAAGACAGTTTTCAGGTCCCCAAAAGCATTTGCTTGAAATAAATATCAGTTGTCTAAACAAGTAGTACTTTGATTTATTACTATGATCTTCCCGGGGTTCCATTTCTGGAACAGTATCTTATTAATAACCCCTCGCAGTGAGGGCGTTGTGTAACAGTATTCAAAACGGTGAAAAATGCAACGAAAGAACTAAGACTAATGAAATTCCATGAATACTTCTATAAAGGAAAACAGAATCTGATTGAGATGCACAAATTTTACTCGAGAAAGAAGTGTGTAAAATCTTTACATTTGAGATCAGTTCTATAAGATAGTCTTCTAGAGTTTGATATACTATGAAACAATGATGTCTTTTTACATAGTGAAGAATTCCTTGAGTCCCAGAGACCTTTGAAGGTCAGGCAAAACAGCACTTTGGTAGAGGAAAAAAGGGTGCATTTTGAACTAATAGTAAATATAATGTCCTATTAAAACCTGTTTTCTTTTATTATGGGACTTAATTTAGAATCCAAAATATTCTGTGGTTCTGAAATCTAGCTTAAATGCAGCAATGTATGGCAACTTCAATAGAAAATCTATTAATGACTATATTTCTTCTTTTTTAGATTACATGTGACCACTCGGGATAAAATTAAAGATATCTACATTGCCTAATTGGAAAAAACTGGAGATCAAGAGTATACGTATTAACGTCACTCAGTTTCCCATACTAAAAAGAAGCAACATGGTGCTGATGAGATCTTAAACTACCAATCCCATGGAAAGAGTGGATGGGAAAACATAATACATGTGGCCATACTTGGGCATCTTGGGGCAAAAAGATACAACTAAATGTGATACTGTTGCTAGTAATAGTTCAATGCCATTTGTTAGTCTAAAGAGAAAACAGTTCCTAGGTGTACATGATTTTATGAAGAAGCCATATTCTATCATAGATGAAAACAAAGTTATTTACAGATATTTAGTGATACAGTCTTTGGTAAATTGACTCATCAGCATCTGTCTTTCTTCTGTATATGAATTTGGTGTATGAGCAGGTGTGATTTTGAATTCTCTCTCTCTTTTTTTTTTTTTTTGGTACGTGCTCCTAGCAGAAACTGGACCCGGGACTCGTTGGTCCACAGGCCGACGCTCCAACCGCTGAGCCAAACCAGCCAGGGCGGATTTTGTATTCTTTAAGTGGTGGGTAATATACCTATAATTTTTTTCTTTTTCCTTTTTTTAAAATTGATTTTAGAGAGAGAGGAAGTGAAATTGCCTGTTTGATTCCTGGTCAGGGCACATGCCCAGATTGTGGGCCAAATCCCCAGTGGGAGGCATGCAGGAGGCCAGTCGACATTCTCTCTCATCATTGTTTCTCTCTCTCTCTCTCTCTCCCTTCCTCTCTCTCTTAGGTCAATAAAGAAAAAGAAAAAAAAAGAACGAAATCTTACTGTTTGTGACAGCGTTGATGGACCTAGAGTAGTGGTTCGCACCCTTCCCAGTGCCGACCCTTGAATACAGCCCCTCCTGTTGTCTGTGGGCGCATCTGCATGGGGCGGACCCGCCTGGACAGACAGAGGAGCGGTGTCTCGGTTCCTAAGACCATTGCAAATAGGTGTTTTCCGATGATCTTAGGTGACCCCTGTGAAAGGGTCGTTCGACCCCCAAAGGGCTTGTGAGCCACAGGTTGAGAGCCGCTGACTAGAGCCACGATTTTTCAAGCTTCTTTATCTCACAGCACATAAACTAATCACTAAAATTCGGTGGCGCACCAAAAATACATTTTTTTGCCCATCTGACAAAAAAAGAAGTTACAATTGTTATTGATTTACAAAACATAATAATAGTAATGACCTCTCTTTTTTGCTCCAAAGTGACTTTATAAAAACTCAGGTGCCTACACTTGTATATAAGGATTTCTGGTGCCAAGAATTAACCCATCAGACACAACTTGATTATGTGACATGACCAATAAGATGCAACTTGTTAACATGGCCTATATATTTATGGTTCCAGACAGGGCATTCACACCGGAAAGCTATTGTTGTATGGGCTGTTGTCATTTTTTAAATTTTTTTATTTGACAGTCTAAGGGAAAAGGGGTCAGTGCCCCTGACTAAGTAGTCAGGTGTTGCATGTTTAAAAAATTCTTGTGGCACACCAGTGTGCCTGCCATGGCACACTGGTTGAAAATCGGTGACCTAGAGGGTATTATGCTGAGTGAAATAAGCCAGACACAGAGACAAATACCATATAATATCACTTATACGTGGAATCTAAAGAGCAAAATCAATGATCAAAGAAAATAGACTTATAGATGCAGACATCGAACTGATGGAGGCCAGAGGGGAAGGTTATTGGAGGACAGGGTAAAAAGGTCATGGGATTACGAAGTTCTAATTGCTAGTTACACAATAGGCGTGGGAATGTAAGGTAAAACATAGGGCCATGGTTAATAACACTGTAATAACTACGCTGCCAAGTGGGTACTTGAATTAATGGAGGGAACACTCTGTAACTTACATGAATGTGTATCCACTGTGCTGTACACCTGAAACTAATACAAAAAAAGTGTTGAATGCAAACTTTAATTGAAAAATTAAAAAAAAAGAGGAAAATGTATTTGGGTGTAGAAACTGGTATGAATTGATTTAGACATGAATAACGGTCTGTGTTCTTTTTTGTTCATATACATATATTTTAACATTTTTATTGAATTTATTGGGGTGACATTGGTTAATAAAATTATATAGGATTCAGGTGTACAATTCTGTAATACATCGTCTGTATATTGTATTATGTGTTCACCGCAAGTCAAGTCTCCTTCTACCACTATTTATGCCCCTTATCCCCTCTTCTACCTCTTTCCGTCTCTCAGCCCCCTTTTTGTTTGGTCATCATCATACTGTTATCTGTGTCTGTGAGGTTTTATTTTTTATTTTTGTTTAATCCCTTCACCTTTCTCACCCAGCCCCCCAACCTCCCTCCCCTGTTTTCTGTTTTTATGAGTCTGTTTCTATTTTGTTTGTTTATTTTGTTCATTAGGTCCCACACAGAAGTGAACTCATATGGTATTTTTCTTCCTCTGACTGGCTTATTTCACTTAGCATAGTAATATCCAGGTTTATCTATACTGTTGCAAAACACAAGATTTCCTTCCTTTTTACAGCCCACTAGTATTCCATTGTGTAAATGTGTCACGGCGTTTTTATACGCTCATCTACTGATGGGCACTTAGGCTGATTTCAAATGTTGGCTATTGTAAATAACACTGCAGTGAACATAGGAGTGCATATATTCTTTTGAATCAGTGTTTTGGGTGTCTTGAGATATAGTCCCAGAACTGGAATCGCTGGGTCATAAGGCAGCTCCATTTTTCATTTTTTGAGGAAACTTTATACTGCTCTCCACAGTGGCTGCAGCATTCTATATTCCCACCAACAGAGCACAAGGGTTCTCTTCTCTCCACATCCTCACCAGCACTTGCTTGTTGACTTATTGACGATAGCTATTCTGACAGGCGTGAGATGATATCTCATTGTAGTTTTAATTTGCATTTCTCTGGTGAATAGTGACATTGAGCATCTTTTCATATGTGTATTGGCCATCTGTATTTCCTCTTTGGAGAAGTATCTAAGTCCTTTGCCCATTTTTTAACTGTTTTTTTTTTTTTCTTTTTGGTGTTGGGTTTTGTAAGTTCTTTATAAATTTTGGATATTAAACCCTTATTAGATGTATTATTAGTGAATCTGTTCTCCCATTCAGTAGTTTGTCTTTTCATTTTGTTGATAGTTTACTTTGCTGTGCAAAAACCCTTTAGTTCTATGTAGTCCCATTTGTTTATTTTTTCTTTTGTTGCCCTTGCCCAAGGAGACATATCAGAAAAAATATTGCTACAAGACATGTTCGAGATTTTACTGCCTGTGTTTACTTCTAGGAGTTACATGATTTCAAATCTAACATTTAAATCTTTACTCCATTTTGAGTTTATTCTTGTGCTGGTTTAAGAAGGTGTTCTAATTTTATTTTTTTTTGCATGCAGCTTTCCAATTTTTCCAACACTGTTTATTGAATAGACTATCTTTACCCCATTGTATGTTCTTGACTTTCTTGTCAAATATTAATTGACCATGAAGATGGGGTTTATTCCTTGGCTCTCTGTTTTGTTTCTTTGATCTATATCTGTTTTTAGGCCAGTACCCATGCTGTTTTGATTACTATGACCTTGTATTATAGTTTGATACCAGGTATCATGATTCCTCCAACTTTGTTCTTTCTCAAGATTGTTGTGGCTATTCAGGGTCTTTTGTGTTTCCATATGTATATTTAGAATATTTATTCTAGTTCTGTGAAATACACCATTGGTGTCTTGATAGAAATTGCTTGAATATACAGATTGCTTTGGGTAGTATGGACATTTTAATGATATTAATTCATCCAATCCATGAACATGGTATATGCTTCCACTTATTTGTAACTTTTTCCATTTCTTTCTTCAGTGTCTTATGCTTTTCTAAGTACAGGTCTTTTACATCCTTGACTAAATTTATTCCTGAGTATATTCTTTTCTCTCTCTCTCTCTTTTTTTTTTTTTTTTTTATATAATTGTAAATTGAATTGTTTTCTTAGTTTCCCTTTCTGATAGTTCATTATTGGTGTATAAAACTGCAACTGCTTTCTGGATATTTATTTTTTATCCTCTTTACTGAATTCATTTATTGGTTGTAGTAGTTTTTTTGGTGGAATCTGTAGCATTCTCTATATACAGTATCATGTCATCTGCAGATGATAATTTTATTTCTTCCTTTCCAATTTGGATGCCTTTTATTTCTTCTTTTTGCCTGATCACTGTGGCTAGGACTTCCAGTACTATGTTGAATAAGAGTGGTGAAAACAGACATCCCTGTTTTATTCTAAGGGAAACGCTTTTAGTTGTTGCCCTATGAGTATGATGTTTGTCATATATGGCCTTTTGACACTGAGGCATATTGCCTCTATTCCCACTTTGCTGGGAGTTTTTATCATAAATGTTGCTGGATTTTATCAAATGCTTTTTCGGCATATATTGATAAGATCATGTGATTTTTATCTTTCATTTTTTATGTGGTGTATCACATTTATTGATTTGTGCATATTGTACCAAACTTGCGTCCCTGGAATAAACCCCACTTGATCATTTTGTATGATATTTTTGATGTATTACTGGATCTGGTTTGCTAATATTTTGTTGAGAATTTTAGCATTTATGTTCATCAGGTATTTGGCCTATAACTTTCTTTCTTTGTAGTGTCTTTATCTTGTTTTAGAATTAGTATCATGCTGGCCTTGTAAAATGACTTTGGAAGTCTTTCCTCCTCTTGAATTTTATAAAATAGTTTGAGAAGGATAGGTATTAGTTCTTTTTTGAATGTTTGGTAAAATTCACCTAAAAGTCATCCTTGTCCAAGACTTTGTTTGTTGGAAGTTTTTGAGTACTGCTTCTATTTCATTGGTTATTATATTTCTATTCAAATTTTCTGATTCTTTCTAATGCAGTTTTGGAAGATTGTATAATTCTAGGAATGTCCACATTGTCCAATTTGTTGGCATATAATTGTTTGTAATATTTTCTTAACAGTCTTTTGTATTTCTGAGGAGTTGGTTGTCACTGCTCCACTTTCATTTCTGATTTTATTTATTGGGTCCTCTCTCTTTTTTTCTTGCTTGATAATCTATTTGAAGGTCATTCACAGGAACCAAGGGTTGAAAGGCACAGATAGAATCTGGTTTACTTTGTATTCCCAGTTATGTTTTAAATCCAAAATAACTAGCTCTTTAGTCACTGGATGCAAAACACTTTGAGCATTTCACTTCAGAATACTTGGAATCCTACTTTGACAGCATTCATACTCATTAAAAGCTCAACCCATGGTCCATGTTTGCACAAGGATTTGGGTGTTACTTAAAATGGCTAAGTAATAAGCTGCTTCTCTAAAAATTAATACTTACTCCGCTCCCCCATCTGTAACATGGGATCTTCGGAGAAGGCGTGAGATAGTAAGAAATAGGGAGAAAATGCAAAGTCAAGGTGAAATATTAACCTTGGGGTCATTCCAGTTGTGGCCATCAAAACCCTAATGAATAATTAGAACAGCTTTACTCTGACACCTATTTTGTGGCACTTACCTATTTATTTATAAACTAAATTGAATAGATATAAGTA